CCTTCTTCTAGCCAGGACAGCGCTGAGTGTCTCCTATGTGCTGGGCGCTGTTCTAGGCTCTGAGGTGACAGCAAGTAAGCACACGAACATATTTACCCCTCACAGAGTTGATCAGTCCGTGGTGTTTTCAGTTTAACCATTCAGTACTAGATTGAGTGGAAAGTGTGGGTCATTTAAAAATGATCATTATTTTTCTTTATTAAAAGCTACTGTGTGCTCAGCACTGGGCTAAGGCAGGAACGCAGAGTGCTGCGAGCTGCCCGAGAAGCTCCCAGCCTGGCGGGTGTTCCCTCCCAGGAAATGCCTGCTTCCAAAGGAGCGGTGGGAGGGCCTGACTCACTGCTTCCCAAGCCCCTGCTAGTCTCTCTGTAGGGGAAGTGCTAAAGTGAGTTTACCTGCAGACACAGCCCACAGTGGTCTCCAGTGCTTAGGACAATCTTACCAGTGGGTAGTCTAAGTGAGGGCCAGTTGCTCACTAGGTACTAGGCCTGGGCTTAGGGCTCCAGGAAAAGCTCAGCATGACCTCTCGAAAGTCATCAGTGAGCTCCTCCGTACAGATCTTCATGTGTTCCTCTTGATTCCCATTTTCACTGCTGTAGTTCAGTCTTTTATTTTCTCTCAACCATTGTATTGTAAAAACCTCCAAAGTACAGGGTGTCCCACTTTAACCGCTGACAGCTCAATTTTGAAAACGAAATGTATTTTAATAAACACTGTCTTTATAATTATTCAAAGTGTATGTATATATTTTTGGGGACACTCTATATTTTCCCCATCGCTGGTCAGTTCTTACTCCAATCCTCTCCCTGCCTAGCCTTCAGAGGTAGTTTTCTAAAACATGGATGTAATCGTGTAAAACTTTCATGGTCCAGTCTCTTCCCTATTCCTCCTCTAACCCTGCACCCCACATCCCTATCCACAGACCACAAAAACAACTCTGAAGAAATTCATAATGAGGCTGGGAGAACTCTTTCCAAGCCTCCTGCTTTGATATTTTGCATAGTCTGATTTAAATTTTCTGCCCTTGCCATATCCCTAGACCATTTAAAAGATCACGAACCACAGGCAGGGAGGCCACATTGAATTACTCTGTGCTAACAGGGATGCACAACAGCTTATCAACTAACATCACATTTAGTTTGGCTTGGCGGGCTGGGTAAGCACTGTGTGTGTGACCGGTGCTCATCAGGGCACGGCTGAGTCTGACTGGCTGAGTTACTTGTCCCATTGTTCAAAACATTAGTCTGAGAAATACATACAGAAGAAAACAGGTTGGATTACCTGCTCCCTGAACTGTTGGAAGGCTTTCATGTTTTCCATATTCCATATATTTTTTTCAAATTATAAGAGAAAGTTTATTTAGAAAATCACAGAGGTAGAAGAAATGGGTTCAGGAAAACAAGTTACAGAATCAAAAGAAGGGCCCTTGGAGCTTAGGAGAAAGAGGGAGGCAAGGAAAATGCTTGGGGGAGGAGGGTGAGTCCTGCTCCATAGAGAGAGCCCCTTACATAGCTTTCATTTGTTCTAAAAATAACAAATCTGAAACGCATGCATATTTATAAAGTACTGTTGATGCAAACCACCCTCAGTACAGTGAAGGGGCATCTGCAGTGGCCCCAGGGATCAATTTCAAACTCCAAAGCTCCTAGTAACAATTGTGTGACACAGTTAGCATTTTGTGGTCCCAAGAACTCAAACTTTTCACCCTTGAGGCACAATAATGACTTTACTTGGTTCAAATCTGCATGCTTCAACAGAATTCTGTGATTACTTACTAGTAATTCTCCAGCCTCCGGTCCCATACCACCTTCCACACACACACACACACACACACACACACACACACACACACACACACACACACATGCATACTCATATGTATTTGCATACACATACCCATACACATAGGAAATGGGTCTTGCAAAATTAATCACACCCATTATAAATGTACAATATAATACCTATATATATGGTTACAAACTAAAAAGGCTGTTCTTCCGTAACATGATGTGAATGATGCCACCCCAGGTTCCCTGAGGACAACTACCTCTTGTCCTACATGTGTTTGTGCAACTCTTCCTCAGCTTCTCTCAGCTGCTTATCTCTCTCTTGGCTTATGTGATCATATTTACTCGGAAATTGGGAAATGACCTATTTGAATGTTTTGCCTGTTCAGGGATAAAAAAAATAAACTTATCAGAAGAATTTCTTTTTTCCTTTTAAATCTTTTTAGTTGGGGTTACTCATACTGATTTCTAATTTTCAGTGTGAAATATAATAATATTTAGGCATAGCTATTTTTTAACTTTAATTATGCATAGCTAATTAAAAAAGCTGAGATTAAGTTGCTTGGTTTTTGTTTTGCACATTTCCCCATTTCCTATTACATCACCATCTGCAAATGAGAATTTAATCATTATTTATGATTTACAAGAGAATTTGTTTAATTGTCAGGGTGCTATTACCACAAACAAACAAACAATCCAATTAAAAAATGAGCAGAGGACCTGAACAGACACTTCTCCCAAGAAGACATACAAATGGTCCACAAATATATGAAAAGATGCTCAACTTCATTAGCTATTGGGGAACTGCAAATCAAAACTACAATGAGATGCCACCTCACACCTGCTAGAGTGGCTGTTATCAACAAGACAGGTAATGGCAAGTGCTGGAGAGGCTGTGGAGAAAAGGGAGCCCTCCTTCACTGCCTGTGGGAATGGAGACTGGAACAGCCACTACGGAGAACAGCATGGAGGCTCCTCAAAAAATTAAGAATAAAGTTACCATATGACCCAGCAACCCCTCTTTTGGGTATCTGCCCAAAAAGCTCAAAAATACTTATTCGCAAAGATATTTGCACCCCTATGTTCATTGCAGCATTATTTACGGTGGCCAAGACATGGAGACAACCAAAGTGTCCTCTGGTAGAGGACTGGGTGAAGAAGATGCAGTTCATATATACGATGGAACACTGCTCAGCCACAAGAAAAGATGAAATACTGCCATTCGTCACAACATGGATGGACCTTGAGAATATTACACTAAGCGAAATAAGTCAGTCAGAAAAAGCTAAGAACTATATGATTTCACTCATATGTGGGATATAAAACTGAAACCCATAGACACAGATAACAGTGTGGTGGTCACCAGAGGGAAGGGGGATGAGGGGTGGTAATGGGTAGAGGGGCCCAAATATATGGTTATGGAAGATGATTTGACTTTGACACACAGTGTAATATACAGATCATGTGTTATAGAAATCTACACTTGAAACCTATATAATCTTTTTTACCAATGTCACCCAAAAATTTAATAAAAAAGAAAAGATAATTGGCAGGGCACTATAATCACAAGCCATCTAAATGATCAGAGTTCTCCAACAAGTGGTCTGGGTTGGGTTAAAAAACCAAAATCTAAGGAAATTTTTTAAGATTGAACTGGATAACCTGAGAGTCAGAGTGTTAAAAAGGTGAAAAATCAGTCATTTTATTTGTTCAATAATTCCTTCATTCTTTCATCCA